CAAAAATTGTCAAGGGGAACCTTTACCTTTACCTTTTATGGGGCCCAAACTCACCGTTCAGCGAAGATACTCCATAGCGCCACCATTTTCACACCCTCAGTAAGCGAGGGCAGGGCACGAAAATGGTTGCGGTGGACATTTTGGGCACCCAGTGGCCATTTTGGAACCGGCGATCAACTGTTTAAAAAAACATCGCGATGCGAAAATTGGCAAGCGTTCACAATGCAATGTTTGGCCATTGAAATCATCGTTACGCGATCGCTTTTGTGATAGCAAAAAACATCGCTATGCGGATTCGTCGTTAAACAAATTGCTCGTTATGCGGGGCACCACTATACTTCTATTTCGCCTTTCTCCCCAAAAGGACCCAAGTTGGCTTACATCACTAAAACCATATTTAAAATCTAAAACAGTAAGGATACAAATATTTTTTTAAAAAATTAACAAATACTATATTAGGTAATCCGATGTTGTCCAGATGGACTAGTTACCACGAATGCCAGCCAGTGTGACACACAGCAGATTATGCTGCCATCCACCAACATAAGGACAGAGCTAAGTGGCTTACCCTCAGTTTAGGGGATATGGGTCTAAGATTAATGTACTATCTCTAATGTACCTGATCTTTGAAAATACAGTGGTGCCCCACATGACAAAGATAATCCGTTCCATTAAAATCGCTGTATAGCAAAATCGTCATCATGCGAAAAAAAATCCTCATTGGAGTGCATTGGAAACCTGTTAATGCATTCCAATGGGGAAAATACCTGGTCGTCCTGCAAAGATCGCCCATAGGGCAGCCATTTTGAGAGTGCCGATCAGCTGTTTTTAATCACTGTCTTCCAAAGCATGGTTCGGAAAACAGCGGGGAGCCATTTTGTGAAGCCGATGATTAGCTGTAAAAATTGTCGTCTTGTGAAAAAACAGCCCGCGAAGCACAGACCAAGTCATCGTCAAGCGGAATTCCCCCATTGAAATGCCTGTTTTGCAAATTGCTATAGCAATCGCAAAAAGGCATCGTTCTGCAGATTTGTTGTTCTGCGTGGTCGTCGTCATGCGGGGCACCACTGTACAAATACTGGGGGCAAGTGATTCAGCTCAACCTGAATCACATGCCTGGACGTCTACCTTACAAATAATTCTAAGTAGACAAATGTGAATCAGGGTTCTTGAAAGCATAGTCATACATACTTTGTCTCCTCAATGGGAGAAAGAGGACCATCATCATCCAGGTATTTGTACTTCCGTGATTCCAGACATTCGTTTTCTAGTTCCTCCCCAGCATCCAATTCTTTTAATGATTTCTTGAGATGGTGTTCATATTTCAGCATTTTAATGTATTTGAAGTAGCCTTCTAAAGCACCTTGCTAGGAAAAAAAGAAATATGTTTTACCATGAACAAATATGAAGACATGAAATTTGGAAGCCAACCAATTTAATCGGTTATGCAATGAGACTCTGAACTTCAGATGATTTCACTATGGGAACCAACTCTACCGATTATATACTTTAGCATAAGAAGGCCAAAATGTTTGTATAAAAGAAGTTCGTCACTCCTGAAAATGACTTACCTCATATAAACACACCAGCTTCAAGGGAAGATGTTTTATCCTATAGAGCTTCTGCACAAAAGGAAATTGATAGCCCCTGTCATTGTATCTCCTCCTTCTCTCCGCTCGCGTGAGTTTTACTCGTAATCTCTTTGTATAATTTCTTGGTCCCTTGCGCCCAGTGCCTCTTGCCGCTTCTAGCCTTTTACGGAGCCTATACTGTCTTCTTCTAGAGTGGTAGTCAAAAAGTGCTCGAAGGTCAAGTTTAGGTTTAGGGAATTTCACAGGACCTGCAGATTTCCCAGTGCCAGCTGAACCACCAGCTGCGGCTTCACGGTTGAGTGTGTTCTCAGGAGACCGACCACCATGATCTGTTGAATTCACTTTCTGTGTTGTGTGCTCCAATGCATGTAAACTAGCATCAGCCCTATTGAAGCAAAAGAAGGAAACCGTTGCTTTTTGGATCAGCCCCTCATACTTCACCTTAATTTAAGGAAAGTTCTTTGAGATGACACACACCAGCCTCCCTCAACCTGGTCTCTTCCAGATATGTCAGAGTACAACATCCGTCACTCCAGCCTATGGCCATCAAGTATATAGATGGAAAGGGTGGGCAATGGGAACACATCTGGAGAACATTAGACTGTAGAATGTCAGTATACACCCCGAGTACACCCTACTGCCACCTTTTCCAATTAGATCAGTGTCCATTAAGAACTGGGTTACATAACCTGCAGAAAAAGCCCTTGTCTACAGAGTTCTCTATTAGGCTTTGCGAAGAAAACAACTTTCATGGCTTATGCCTTTTCTGTAATGTTTCTATCCTTTGGGTAACCCACAACGGCTTTAAAAGGACATAGTGTGGCCAGCACTCTCGATCTGTCAATCCGTATGGGGCTGAAAACCCTTTGGGTCACATGGATGATGGCTGCTAGGAAAGGAGGCTCCAAAAAGCTGCAAAAGAAGGATACCCAACAGAATCTAACTTGAGGCTGGACTAGTCTTTTAGGGTGGGTGTAAGGGGCTGTCAGATGTGACTGGCAGAGAGGTTCCACAAGCACCAACACTAAGCCTGCATATATATTAGAAAACAATTAGACAGTGGCAGTCAAGGACAGGTGATGATTGTTGGGGACAGTTAACGGCTTCTGACTCTACTGTAAATCTATGGAGTCCAAACTACAGGCTGAGGCAATCAAGAAGCTATGCTGTGTGAGACTATGGGAAGCTACAAGCAAAGGATACAAAGGTTTTACACATCTACCCAGAGAAAGCAGAGCCATTATGAAAGCTAGGACCAACAAGAGACGTTCAATACGTATAAAAAGACTGTTGTACAGCATGTTTCTAGTTGTGAAAGATTGGCTGGGAGGGAGTTTAAGAAAACCTGGATTGTGAAAATGACAACTGGACTACAAACTATATTATTACAGAATAGTAACCACAGATGTTTCATTTATATGTGTTTATGCAATTTCAAAATATTTATTTTATTTGGACCCTGCCCATCTGGTCCTACGACCACTCTAGGCAGCTTCCAATATGATATAAACAGTATGGACCACTCTAGGCAGCTTCCAATACGACATAAACAGTATATAAAATGACACAAGAATTATTACATAAAATATCTTCCAATAACAATTTACAAGACAGGAAGATAGAGTGAAAAATAAAGAAAAAGATCAGGTACAGTGGGGTCTCGACTTACGAACTTAATCCGTATTGGAAGGCAGTTTGTAAGTCGAATCTGCATTTCCCATTGGAATGCATTGAAAACCATTTAATCCGTATCTGCTCTTTTCCGACCATAGAAACTAATGGGAAGCTGCTATTCCGTCTTCTGCCACTAGAGGGGGACATTTTTTCTTTTTTTCTTAGGTCAAGAAAAGTTCAGGAAAGGAGGGGGGAGGCAGAGAACAGTTTTAAAAGCACTTTTGAAATCTTTTTTTTC